AGCTCTAGGTTCCAGCTTACCCTCACTTTGATGAGAAAAAGCTGTACAGCCAAATGTTCTAAGTATCGAGTAATCACTCAGTTTACCAGACCATCTCTCATGTGGAGTATCACCATTCAATGCAGCAGAGGGTGTAAGATTAATCAAATAACAAGCTGTCATAACAGCCTCACCCCAAAATGACTTGGGAACACCCGAACTGATCATCATGCAACGTACTTTATCAAGTATGGTTCTATTCATCCTTTCTGCTACCCCATTTTGCTGAGGGGTGTAGGGAACAGTCTTATGTCTAGTTATGCCGCTTTCTTTGCACATAATATCAAATTCTTTATTGCAGAATTCTAAACCATTATCAGTCCTTAAAAATTTGATTTTCTTGCCAGTCTGGTTCTCCACTTGTCTCTTCCAATTATTAAAACTATTGAAAGTATCAGATTTATCCTTCAAAAGATAGACCCACACTTTCCTAGTGTAGTCATCAATAATAGACAGGAAATACCTATTACCACCCGATGTGGGGTTACTGGCAGGGCCCCAAAGGTCAAAGTGCACATATTCGAGCATGCCTTTAGCTCTATTAACACTCGTGGAGAAAGAAGTTTTGTGATGCTTACCGAGCACACAATGATCACAAAATGACAAATCTAACACACAGTCTACCAAAAGCACCCTTTTCATTAAGTAGCTTAAGTCCCTTGACCCCTACGTGAGCAAGCCTATTGTGCCATGTGTGTGTGTGATCAATCTTGACAAAGGAGATAGAGGAATTCATATCTCTAATCACTTCCCCAGTAGTAATGTATATATCGTTTTTCTTAATTCCCTTAATGGAAACTAAAGCACCCTTGATCATTTTTAGCATACCATTTCCAATTTTACCAGTAAAGTCATCCTTCTCAAGTCTCCCTACTGAAATCAAATTCCTAGACAATTCAGGAATATATCTAACATCCTTTAACGTATACACAAAACCCGTGTTAAATTTTACGTTTATGTCACCAATTCCAGCGATAGTATAGGCAAAGTTATCACACAACACAACATGCCCAACTTTAGATTCATGCAACTTACAAAACCAGTTCTTTTCAGACGTCACATGAAAAGATGCACCAGAATCAAGTATCCATTCATGAATGCGGGAATTAGCAGTTAGATTTAATTCAGCAGTGTATGCAGCTGGACTTGTAATCATATAGACCTCACCACCACTTATATCAGAAGTGGATGCTAACACATTTACCTCATCTCTCTCCTTAGCTTTTAGCTTACCCTTCTCCTTATGACAATCCTTTATAAAGTGCCCTGTGTTTCCACAACCATAGCATTTTCTCGCCTTAGTTCTAAATTTTGATCTGGACCTACCTTTGCCCTTCTTTTTCCATCCATTACCACTTGACTCGCCACTAGTTTGATATCCCTCATGACTATTTTGCCTAAATTGAGTTCTACCCCGCATCATATGTACTTCACCATTCCTTTTATCATGTTTTTCAGCCTTAATTTTCATTTCTTTACTTCTAAGGGAATCTATGACAATTTCAGGTGTTAACGTGTCTCTGCCATACTTAATGGCATTCTTAACTTCCTTATAGGAATCAGGGATTGCATTTAGCAAAATTATAGCCTTATAAGTTTCGGACACAGTCTCATAAGTTTCGGACACAATCTCATCACAATTAACTATGTCTTGCACCAGTTTGTTAAACACGTCTAGATTGTCATCCAGATCCTTTGAAGAATCCATTTTAAAACTGAAAAAACGTTCAAGCAGGTAAAACTTATTAGGTGTAGATTTAAGCAAATACAAGTCTTCTAATTTCTTCCAAAGTTCTTTGGTGTTTTTTAATTTACCCACCTTTCTTAAAACAGCGTCAGACAAGTGTAAAATAATTGAGGTATAAGCAAGCTCATCGGCTTCTTCTTTTTGTTCTTGTGAAAAATCAGTTGAAAAATTGCCTTTAATGACTTTTGAAACTTTTTATTGGACTAAAATACCCTTCATTTTTTGTTGCCAAATAGCAAAGTCACCCTTTCCGTTAAAAATTTCCAAATCAAAACTATGAGTTGTCATCTTCACACAATAGCCAAAAATGCACAAACCACAATCAAACCACACAAAGTAGTCCTAGGGGTCACAATAATATACTCCGTTCTAGATTCCCAGGGTTTCGTAAGACTCGCGGTCTTAGATCAAGGGAATGTTCGAAAGGGTAAAGTCACGGTATTTCTAACGGAATAAGTAAGCAGCGGAAATAACAATGCAGCAAAAAATACGTCTAGCAGATAACTAGTCCCACAATAATTTTGATCACCAAGAATTACAAAACTGATTTCAAACCCAAATCAAATACTCAATCAAAAAGATCAATCAAGAGCACATAACCCTAATTCTAGCACAAGCATTGGTTGCCAAGCAATGATAACTCCCAACCTATTGTCACCCCACACGGTGACGCGCTAATGCTGAAAAATTAACGGGTTAAGCCAATTTACCAGAGCGGACGTGTCTGAGTCCGTATTATCGAGAGAGATGCGAATCTACTGCTTTAGGACCGCAATCTTGGCCTAAAGTAATTCAGTAGATATATGCAGATTCAACCGTCGATCCACCGGGGGCAAAATTGTCCAACTTTTTCTGTATAACCTGAAACAGAAAATAAACAGAGTCAGTGCGTTCAGGGGAATAAAATAAGCAAACTGCCCGAAGGAAGCTCGCCCGGAACCGCCGCCGCCGATGCCGCCACGCGCCACAGCCGAGGGAGCGCCTCAGCCTGCTGAACCTGGATATGGGTTCGGTTTCGCCGGAAAGTGGCTGGATTGGCCGGAAATCAAGGTTGCAGCCGCGGTTCCTCAATCCCAAAACGCGATTTGCAGCCGGTTTTTGACAAATTTCAGGCCGGAAAAGCTTCAACTAGCTCTGATACCACCTGTAGGACCGAATTCCACAGCCAAGCAGTGCAAAAGCGGGCTCAGTTTACCAAAAACATCGACACCATTCCTTGAGACGACTCCAATACCACCTTGTGCCACCACGGTCCGGTTGCTATGGATATGGGAAGAAGAAGGCCAAGAAAATACTCACAATATATCAACCACAAAGGTCACAGAGAGGGAGGGAAGAAACGGCCGAGAGAGAGAAGCTCACAAAGAGGGTTTTTCACTCTAAATGGAGGCCGAGAGGTTGAGAGGAATATATGCCAAGAGTATTGTCCAAACAAGGTAAGTTACAATTAGGGCTAAGTGGTGGATCAAAGGCTCGACTCAAATAATTGGGCCTCAACAATAATAACATAGCCTTCCAAGGAATGGTGCGAGAACCGTGAGCAACACTATAAAATAGGTTACTTCGAACGGTCCATAACAAAATGGATTGTGTCGTCTCGTTAATTGTGTCGATGTGCTAATCAATCATTAGGCCGAGGCTGATTGATAATAAACAACCGATGTTACATCATCGCCCGGGGAGGTCGTTTGACAACAAAATTGCCTAACACCAACAGTGAATTCGAGATCCAAATGCCTTTCATGACTTGATTAAGAGTTGCTTGTTTTTAATTATTTATCTTCGTAGACAATTAGATACTATAAATCAAACTAAAATTTAAATGTGTTTTTTTATTGATTGAAGTTATTTTTAATTAAAATTACTGAGTAGATAATCAATCCTCATAAGTTCGACACTATATTCATTACTTTATTATTTATTACGATTAGTTCACTTGTAAAATAAATCAATATTCCTCGTGAGTTAGATAACGCATTCTCACTATTTTATTACTTGTTACGATCAGTTCACTTGTAAGATAAATCAACAACTTGATTAACAACGAAGTTATCTTCAAGATGTTGTTTCCACAAGTGGTTAGAAGCTTCAATGCATCTAGGATAGACAAAAAAAATTGTTCTCTTGCATAGCCTAAGGATACTTGTCTGTTCATGCATCCGTAAAAGCCATACGCGTCATGTTTGGATCAACTTCTGTTGAGCATGTTGCTCTAAGAAAGTGTATCACAATTGTCTGGGTAGGATTTACGACTGGATTGCTCGAAATTGAAATTTAGTGACTTGATTGCAACTAAAACGAAAGTTTAGCGACCTCTAGTATTATAAATATACTAATTGGGATGAACATATTCGCAGTTCGTTTGTTTTTTTCATAGATATGCCAGCTAATTCCGTAGGCACCTTATAAATAATTATAAGCTATGACAAACATGCACTAAACAGCATATATACTAAAAGTGAATGTTTGGATTTTGATAATGCTCTATAATACACAATGCTTTAAATTCTATGTTTGACAGAGCCTCCGCCTCCGATTACAGTATGCCCGCCGTCAAGATTTTACTGATGACAAGAGGATGACGGCCGGCTGTAGGAATAAGAACAAGCACAAGGTGACAATTTATGTGGAATCAATACTTTTGTAAGTTTACATGTTGCAACTTGCAATCAATTAGTCAACAATTTTTGGCTTGAATAGTCACTGCATTTTTTCTTATATTACAATTAATATTAATGTAAACATTTTGTATTCAATAGGCTATAAATCAACAGAGTATTTGGTGCAGAATATGCTTCTGTGCCAATTTTTGTAATAATAGCTTTGCATTAAAACCAGAATTTTCTATGATATTTTCCCTCTTGTACCGCTTTTTATGACCTAAGCCAACATTCTTTATTGTGAGGAATGAAATTTCAAGCCTCCTCTTTGTTCTTAACTATAATGTCTTTTTCATCTGTTGTTAAGGCAGATAGGTCTGGTCTCAAGAATTTTTATGCACAGAAATGTTTGTTGGACCAGTCTACGGTTGTTTAATGAAACAGTTGATGTTTTCCGGGGCAATATTTATTAAGGAGCAAGTTTTTTCTTGCCAAATAAATTATTGATTCCTTCAAATTGGTTACAACTTAAAAGCTACCCCATCTGCCTCAGTGGGATTAGTACTTTGAGCTTTTTGCCTTCTCATTGGTTCTTCGAACTACAATCGATCACCATGCGCAATGGTCTACCAGGATTTTTCATCGTATTTAACTTCTTTTTATCGAGTTCCCTTGCACAGCAGAATTACTCAGAAAATCTTGCTCTGCAATGCAACAATACTGATTCAACAGGACCATCTTCGGCGTTTCTTTATACCTGCAATGGTGCAAAGTCTTCCTGCAAGGCTTTCTTACTTTTCAGAACACGACCTCCTTATGTTTCAGTCTCTTCCATCTCGAATCTTACATCTTCGGATCCCTTGGAATTTGCACTCCTGAATAATATCTCAAACTCAGACACTTTGCCACCGGACCAAGACGTTGTAGTTCCTATAACTTGTTCCTGTTCGGGTCAATACTATCAGGCCAACACATCTTATGTTTCGCAAGTTGTTGATGACACCTATTTCACAATCGCAAACAACACGTATCAGGGGCTAACCACTTGCAATGCACTTATGCGGGAGAATCAAATTGGTGAATTGGATTTGTATCCAGGTTTGAAATTGCAAGTGCCCCTTAGATGCGCTTGTCCTACAAATGAACAGATTGTAAATGGCACCAAGTTTCTATTAACATACTTGGTCACTTGGAAAGATAAAGTTCCTGCAATTAGTCGTCGGTTCAATGTTAGCAACGGAAGTTTAGTAGAGGCTAATGGTTTTTCTGATAAAAATTCATGTATTTATCCCTTCACTACCATATTGATCCCTCTTCCAACAGAACCCTTGAACTCTCAAATCAGAACTTACCACCAAACGTTTCTTTCCAATCCAAGTCCTGTTACTCCACAGAAAAAGCATAAAAGATCCTCTAAAGGACTTCATGTTGGGATAGGAACTGGTGCTTCTTTTGCAGTTTTTTGTTTTGCTCTATCTCTTGGTTTCTTCTATCACAGGAAAAAAAGATCAAATGAAGGCACTTCAAATGGTAGGCAGGGGAAAAAGCTGCGAAAATTGCAGGAGCAGATCCTAGATAAAGTTGCAGGAATCGGGGAAATGCTGAAAATATATTCATTTGAGGAATTAGAGGCAGCTGCTGGAAACTTCATTGCACTGAAGAAGCTGAGTAATTCTGTTCATCGTGGGGTTCTTCGTGGAAAATCAGTAGCCATAAAAAAGACGAGCACAGATGTGACAAAGGAGATTGAAATTCTTAGTAAGATCAGTCACTTTAATTTGATTAGTCTATATGGTGTTTGTGAGCATGACGGAGATTTCTATCTTGTGTATGAGTTCATGGAAAATGGATCTTTAAAGGAATGGCTCCATAAAGAGAACCGTTCACATGTTCAGAGCTGGAATTACTTGATACGTATTGCTTTGGATGTTGCTAATGGGCTACATTATCTTCACAACTTTTCTTCTCCAGCATATGTGCACGGGGACATTAACAGTTGCAACATATTACTCAACGGAGATTTAAGAGCCAAGATCGCGAATTTCAGTCTTGCAAGAATAGCCCTGAGGGAGAGAAATGGAAATTCGATTACAAGCTGTGTTTTTGGAGCAAAAGGTTATATGGCACCTGAGTATCTACGAGATGGGAACGTGACTCCAAAAATTGATGTATATGCCTTTGGGGTTGTTCTATTAGAACTTATTACAGGTAAAGAGGCTGTCTTCGTGGAGAATGGAGAAGAAGTTTTTCTGTCAGCAACAATAATGTCAGCCGTGGATGGAATAAGTGCAAATGCTGAGATTGAGGACCTAATCGATCCTTGCCTCCAAGTAAAGAATTCTCTTGGTTTTATCATAGATCAAACTGAACTTGCAGTTCGCTTGGTGAAATTAAGTTTTTCTTGCTTGGCTCGAGAACCAGAAAACAGATTGAGCATGGCAGAAGTAGTTTCAGCTTTGATGAAGATCCAGTTAGATGTCCAGAACTCTGAATCCTATTCTATTGAAGTCGAACTACACTAATATGTTTATATCATATTTTTCTAGTTCAAATCTCTGTAATTGAATAAACAACACCATAATCAACAAAGATTGTAATGGCTGGTTATTCTATTCGCAGATGAGAAATTTGTACATCAGCATTATACAAAGATAACTAAAGCTTTCAATTGTAAATCTCTCTCAGCAAGAAAATTATACATTATTGTTTTTAGTGTTTCCATATTACATGATAAGAAGAGATACACTTCAAAACTTCAGAATTCTGCTGAGATCATAATATGGTGGATCAACGAGCTATGACTGCACTAATAACAGGCAAAACATCCTCAAATTCAAATTTTGAGGTCCAGGAATCCTCGTACATCTCAGGAGAAGATTGAGTCAGAATGCATAGGTTGAAGATGATTTCTGTCATTCTGGTCTCTCGGAGAATTTATCTGGTGTGCATGCTTTTGCCAAGGTTGTCAGAATAGATCCATCCACATCCTCAGCCTCTCTTCTCTGTGATCATCATCTTTCCCTTCTTTTCTTTCCATAACATGACAACTTCAACATTATCCTTGGCTTCCAAAACTTTCTTGCCTAAAAGTAACTCGAGAAGAAGAACTCCAAAAGCAAACACATCGACCTTTAACACGATAAAGAAAGTTGCAGGCCTGGCTGTAGAGAAATTTGAAATCTTTGCTTTGAAAGTAGAATCGAGGAGTATGTTCCTTGTTTTGATATCCTTTTGGATAACACTTGGTTGAGTATGCTAAAAAAGCTGATCAGGAACCAGTTGAGCTTTTCAGATTCTAAACTATTAGCTGTTACTACATCCAACAAGTTTATTTAGAACAGTTTAGATATATTTCCAAGATCTGAATCGTCAGGAGTATGACTCAAATAGGAGTCATTTGAAGAGGCGTATTCAACTTGGACTAGAAGAATATTAACCTAGGGTATAAGGAAATTAAGTTGAATAAAGAAACAAAATCGTGTTTAAATTGGATCTCGTAATTGTAATATATTTTCTTACCTTTTAAGACTCTTCTAAGGTTAGCCTATAAATACAAGGCTCCTCTGGTCAATTTATAAAGAGTAGTATAGAAGCAGTATTGCTAATCTGTCTTGTATTCTCTATATTGTTGAATTAATAAACATAGTTCCTCTACGTTTACCCTTTGTGTTCTTTCTTTACAAATTCAATCTTGTATTTTCGTGATGTGATCTAGTATACTTCAATATTATCATTAAATCTTGTTCTTTATAATCCGGTTTGGAATCGACGTGTGTTATTGGAGCTTTCGCGCCCAACAAGTGGTATCAGAGCAGGTTGTTGATTTTCTGTGGATTAGTTGAGATTCTTTCGAGATGGTTGGGTTGAAGTATGATGTTCTGCTGTTAGATCGCAATACAAGGTTCTTATTGTGACAAGTAAAGATGAGGGTTGTTCTGACGCAGTTGGATTTAGACGGTTGCTAGGTTTTGAGAAGATGCCAGCTGGTTGGACAACGGAGGAGAAACAACGGAAGGATCGGAAGGCTGTTTCATTGATTCATGTTCATTTATCCAACAATATTCTGCAGGATATCTTGAAGGAGAAAACGGCGGCTACTTTATGGTTGAAGTTGGAGCAGTTGTGTATGACTAAGAGTCTTACAAGTAAACTGGTTCTCAAGCAGAAGCTGTATTCACATCGCATGGCGGAAGGAGAGTTGTTGGAAGACCATGTTGCCATGTTCAAGGAAATAGTTGCAAATTTGGAGATGTTGGAGGTTAAGTACGATAAAGAGGATCTTGCCTTGATCCTGTTGTGTTTGCTGCCTAGATCTTATTCGTTGTTTCGAGATACTATCTTGTATAGTCAAGATACTTTGACTATAGAAGATGTCTATGATACTTTGCACTCAAAGGAGAAACTAAAGCATTTGGTTAGAGCTACATCAAGGATGGAGAAGCTCTTGTATCTCAAGGTGGTCGACGAAGAGGCAAATGGAGAGTTAAATTTAGCAATGTGACATGTTACTACTACAAAAGGAAGAGACATATTCGAAAGGATTGCGATATGTTGCAGGCTAAAGGTAATTTAGCTGTAAATCATGGGGTGCAACCTTTGAATTCAGACGAAACCAATGTAGTTGAGAATTGTTCAGATGGCGAAGAGGTGATGTTGACCGTGGTATCTGATGTGGAATCTAGGCCTGACGAGGAGCGGATTCTTGATTCAGCATGTTCGCACATATGTGTTCCGATAGGAATTTATTTAATACATATGAGGCTGTTCAATAAGGTGGAGTTGTAATGGGAAACAACCAATCTTGCCGTATTGCTGGGATCGGTCGAGTAAGATTGAGGCTGTGGGATGGAACATTTAGAACAATTGATCAAGTTCAACATGTTCCTGATTTGAAAAGGAATCTTATTTCGCTGAATACCCTGAATGCAAAAGGGTATAAATTCTCTGGAGGAGGTAGAGTCTTGAAGGTCCGAAAGGGAGTCCGAGTTATACTGGAGGGACGAAAAAGATCCCAATTGTACATTTTGCAGGGGAGTGCAGAACCAATTAAGATGAGATATTTGGACAAGTTTAGTATCGTGTTGGAAGTTTAGTTTGCTGCAGTACCTCTTGTAATGGGCTCTGAGTCGATTCAGAACACTGCTAGGGAGAGCGTTGGTGATTTCGCTTTGCCACCAATTTCAGCGAATACACCGTGTCCAGTTGCTGGGGTAGGACTCATGAAGCGTAGTTACCGTGATGTCAACAATGTCTAGGATGCTTCTAGGAATGTTGAAGGTGACAGTTCCAAGCATCTGGTTTGGTTCTTGTTACAGGGTGTGCTTCGGCCCTATGTGATCAACATTAATTCCTTGGTGAAATTGGGAACCCTGAGGATTGGGTTCGGGTGTCGATTGTGGACGTTGGGCAGAGGACGAGTGTTTGGTTTATATGGAGTGGTTACTATGTTGAGGAGATTCGGCCAATTAATTTCGATGCAGATGAATTTGACATCTAAGAGTTTCGTTCGTAGCACCGAAATTTGAGTCAAGGTGGAAATTATTAGGAGTATGACTCAAATAGGAGTATTTTGAAGAGGGGTTTCGACTTGGATTAGGAGAATATTAATTTAGGGTTGAAGGAAACTAAGTTGAATAAAGAAACAAAATCGTGTTGAAATTGGGTCTCCTAATTATAATATATTTTCTTGCCTTTCAGGAATCTTTTAGGGTTGGCTTATAAATACAAAGCTCCTCTGGTCAGTTTATAAAGAGTAACATAGAAGCAGTATTGCTAATCTGTCTTGTATTCTCCATACTGTTGAATTAATAAACATCGTTTCTCTGCGTTTATCCTTTGTGTTCTTTCTTTACAAATTCAATCTTGTGTTTCCGTGGTGTGATCTAATATACTTCAATATTGTCATTAAATCTCGTTCTTTATAATCTGATTTGGAATCAACGTGTGTTATTGGAGCTTCCGGGCCCAACATGAATTAGGTGATCTCACTCTATATGTAACAGACGTTTCACACGATGGAGGCGAGTAGTAGGAGCATGTAAAATATATATATCTGCAGTATTAGGAGATTGAGCAGTGATATAGAAATCCCTATAACTGTGGTATAATTAAATCCCTATAATCGTGGGATTAAATTATGGGGTGTTCGTGATTGATTGTGTATACCTTATTTGATTTATCTTAAATTAGGCAAAATTTCTTTTTCCACTTTTAGGAGACAATATTCCTCTTTTATACCACACTGTATTACAAATAGGATCCCATAGCATTGTACAAATTATCAATCGATAAGCAGAAAATTTCTTTAACTGTTCTCTTTACAAGTGACAACGGAGACTGAAAAAGATGAGAAACAAGGAAAATACTGAGAGCAAAGAAACTGTCATTTGCTTTGATCTAAGATTGTAAAGTAACTGAGATGATAATTATATATTTTTGGGAACAAAAGAGAAATTGTCGGGATCTTACTAACGGTTGATACAAAAGTTGATCAACCATCTGAAGAAAGACTATTAATGATTTAACAAAAATCTTAAATAAAAAACGCAGAGGCAATCAACTTGAGAAAACTGTCACAGTTCGACTAATCTTTTAATGGACTTTTTCTGATACAGTCTTTGAAAACAACTAAGATTAGTTTATTTTAAAAATCTAGGTTTAGACGGCAAGAACTCGGTTCTTGCTTTTAAATTTATATGTAAGAAATTAAAGAAGGATTAAGAAAAAAAAAATTGGCGGCTACACAACCTATTGTATTTTTTTCTTAATGTCTGCATCATTTATTGTCCTTACCCTTAAATTTTGCTAGCTGGAGTCAGAATAGTCCTATCCGTTTGTCCTTTTACATGAGGATAATCACAATCCCCTGCCTACATGCGTCTTGTCAGGTTAAATGAAGAACTAAATTTGGAATTTGAAAATAGTGAGAAAAAAAAGGTGAAAAAATACTGGTTGCTAGGTAAATAGAAAGAAAAGGCAAATGGATCAAAATGGATCCCAATCCAAGAGAAGGCAAATTGCTGATGGAGGTTCAGTTTCTTTCCTTTTTTTTTTTATGCAACAAAAGAAGCTAGGAATTTCAACTTTTTTAATTTCTATCTTTTCTATTATGTTTCTTTCAGCTTAAAATTCGAACAGAGTAACAAATACACAGAAGGCTTAGTAGCTGCACCAGACAAAGTCTAAAAACATTGAAATCCTTTTCTTTTTTCAAAAGGAGAATATTTGTTTTGCCTATGTCCATTATGAACATTTTATATCCTTTTATGTATGAATATTTGACACAAAACATGAACTGGCCAATGTCAAAACTTACAACAGAACAGCAGAAGCACTTATTCATTTTTTAGCCCCAGCTTTTTATCGCTGACTCTATTTTTTTTTTTTTTTTACTTATCTAATCGTGTACAAACTAGTATGAAAAGGCCAAATTTATGAAGTCTGAGTGGAAAATCCAGAGTAAATCACCAATGAGGTCAACATGGAAAGCTTCCAGTAAGCCGAATGTGATCAAGCGTACTCTTTAAGCCGTACTTAAGCACAGCCTTATCGCCTTCTCTGAAACCATCTCCATAAGCTGTTGAAGTGTCAGACTCAATCTGATGTTTGAAAAAATCACCGAGTTCTTTCTCAAATTGAGATCGTTTGCCCTTCTTTGAAGAACCAGATGATGATGAAGCTGAGGACGAGGCGGAGGAAGATGACGATGAAGTAGAAGCTACATTACTCCCAGAACCAGCAATAATTTCTGAATCTAGCCACATATGAGCTAACACCTGGCAGATACCTTCTTCCACTTCTGGACTTAGATTTGGGTAACCTGCAAAAGCATCGATAGTTCAAGTAACACATATAGCGCTTATGGTGTGTTTGGTAATAAGGATTAGACACTAGACAATGTAAAAAAAGAAAATAAGCTAAATTGTTATTCAATATAGAGTCACTTGAGGGAGTTGCAACGGATGCAACATAAGATAAAAATCACCTTTAAGTCGCAGCCATGCATGCATCATCTCATGAGCCAGGATGGAACCTGTCAATAACCTGAAAAGAAAAGAGGTTTCTTATTTTGTCCCGAAAGTGAAAGCATTGACTATTTAGAAGCAACAAAAGAAACAATGCTCACCGAGGAAGACCATACAAAATAAGAATTGCAGTCACCTCACATTCTCGAACTAGCTTATAAGGCTCAGTAAACATATCTACTATCCGATGTCCACCAATTTTCGGCCGCTTCAAAATCTGAATTTTTGGGGAAAATAAGCACAAACTTCAATTTTAAAGAGAAAAAAAAAAAAACGAGGACTTCACAATTTCATGATACACATTTAAAAGTAAGATGCTGCTGAAAGATATTCATACAGTGCTAACGGTCTGCTCTTCAGACAGGCAAAGTCCTCTTGTCTCGGGCATGTGATGATGACCCTGGCAACAAGACGAATATTACAAAAAATTTGGAACTTGGGTAGAGGTACTATGTTTATAAAGCATAAACCTTACATTTTTTTCTCCTTCCATGGCTTCATTTAGGGCCTGTCTCTCAACCAAGAGCATTGGAACTTGCTGCTCCACCTTCATATTTAAACCTTCATAAAATTCTTGAATTTCAAGGTAAAGGGGTTGGCATTCGTGCGTGTCCATTATTGAAGAGTCCAAACACTCCAGACATAGCTTCCGCCCATCGTCAAGAATAAGATATCTAGCATCCACCGGCTGCATTGCTCAGAAAATTTAACATTAATCAAAGAACTTGTATAAATCCAGATTTAAATCTAAATCAACGTCAATAATTAATGTTAACCACATATTTATGGGACCACAACTTTTCAACAATACATTTCATCAAATTTTATCAAAATCTAATAAATTTTTAATCCCCACCAAGCAGGGGCAAAAAACTGATTTCCTTGTTCTCAAACTTTCTTTCTATTTTAAAACATCACTTTCCCAACTTACCTCCATTCTCTCACAGCTGCAACAGCGAGGTGTTCCATCATGCTCATGCGATGGGCAGTACTTTTGATGCCAGAAAGGATGTGCCCTATACTCAATAAGACCAGCTGCATTTGTTGGGATCTACATCGGTTGGAAAATGATGCAGAAAGACCAAACTACCACATGGTTAGTATGGTATTCAGATAGGAACAGAACAGTTTATCTTCATTATATGCATAGTGTAACAATGTAGCCTTAATGATCAAAAGTTGAAGATAAAACAATGAAATTTGAAAGTAGTAACTAAAGATCAGATGCAATAAACTTATAGTTGATTTCCCCACTCTATTCCAAAATCAATTGACGACGATCATGTGCTCTGGGCCAAGTATCATGCTGTCTAAGCAAGGAAGATGGATGGTCAAAAACATGGAGCTCAGCATAAAGTTTGCGTTGTAACCATCAAATTCATATATTATTTAGTTTATCGAGTTTCAGATTATAGTTTAAGTCGGTACTAAGCACTTTTGACAATGATATACTTTGATGGGCAAGAAAACAGGGTAATTATCATGCTAATGCTTGCTTTGTTCATTTAAACTCTCTACAAATTTCTGGATTTTGTCATTCATTCGTTGAGCTGTCTTTCTTTTGCCAATATGATTTTCTTTTTCCATTTATTCATTGAGTTCAGCTAAAGGAAATCTATTAACCCATTCCGGCATTGGTACATGCTATATTAGGATTTAAGAAAGTAGATCTTTCTAGTTAAATATATATCCTATCAGGAAAGAGTTTGATTTCAGAGTTAGTGTCAATTTCGAGTATTTCCATGGCTCAATTACTACTACTGTGGCTACTCAAGACTGTTTTCATGCAAGTTTGAACATGGTTGTCAGCACTTCCTTGTCCATACACCTTTTAAATAATAGCTAATGGGAGTATAAAGTGGGTAGTTCCACTGGAAGTCTAGATCCCTCCTGGAAGTTTAAAAGGAAAAGGGCAAAGCAGTTGGGGAATATTGGCATAATTTCTCATTTATTCTGCACAGCCATCATTCTCAACTGGCACTAGCTATTAATTTTAGAAGTGGATGAGCAAATCTGAGATGTATAATCTTATACTACATTATTGCTTTATAGAGAATAGATACTCACAAAATTCTTGCAGACATCGCATTTAGGATGATGCTGCTCCTTGTAACACGATTTGTGGTAAGGCTGATTGTCAGACAATGAAAACTGGAATGGACATGAAAGAAAAGAGTTCTTAAACCTGTTTGTTAATGATTATGAACAAAAATAAGTAAAATCAAGCAACTAAAAACTAATAACATAATTTAGAACAAAATTCAGACAGGCTTCAAGTACTTCAGTGTTAATTTTAGACCTCGTGATCGGAAATTGGCTGATTGCAAGCATGGCAACGAAAACATTCTGGATGCCAAACAGCCCCCATGCAACTCAAATATCTTCCATGACCAATATCGCCATTGCAACCAGCGCAAATCCTACAATAAGAACTACATTAGGTCCAAATGATGTAAGAAAATAGATTGATAACAGGAAACTCAAATAAAAAGAAAATTTGTTTGGAATGCAGATATATTAACAGTTTAATCCATTGACTTTGGATAGTCAGATATCCCTTAAATCTAGTGCTTTACATGCCTTCCCTTTGAAACAAATCACTCTATGCCAATATTAACCAAATGAAAATTCAAGATAATTAACATGAGACTATCTGAAAGTTTCAAATATTCATCCGTTGATTTCAGAAAATTCGAAAAATCAAAAGGAGACTAATTACCTGTACCCCGATGAATAGTAGTATGGATAAGGAGGAAAGTAACCTCCATAATCACCTCGACCTCCATAATCATATCGAGGTGGAGACTCCATGTTCAGACTTTCCTGAACAGCCTTTGCAAGCATTTCATCTTCTTCCAAGTGAGACTGAGACTCAGTATCTGACAATCAACAAGCTTAAGTTAGTAATCTTCAATATGAGTCTGACTAAAGTTCTTGGGACTTCTTTATCCCAAAACAACCCAAATTTAAGCAGTGTGACAGTAGACATAAGTTACACGGTATGAATAAGATAGAGGCATATTATACTTCTCAAAAATTCTTCACTAGTTCCATTTATATTTCCACAAACATCTGTGTGGGAAGCAAAATCAATTCTCAAAATAGTTGCATATATTGCTTTAAAGCCTGTTTGTGAGAGACATAAAAAATAGTATACAATAAATTACTGTTCCTTGAAATAAAAATAGGCCATTTCATGAAGCGGGCTGTGTAAGAGTCATATATACTTCCCAGAACTCGATAACAAATGATCAAAGAACTTACAAGAACTCCACACATAGGGCATTAAGGTAAGTGACTTGTCCTGCTGAACTTACCAATCACTTTCTTTCCTTTCTCATCTTCTTCTTTGTTTTCTTTCTCATCTTCTTCAGCAAGAGACGCATCTTCTTCAGCAAGACAAGCATCTTCTTCAGCCAGAGAGACATCTTCTTCAGCCAGAGACCGGGCAATTGCAAGATCAATTTCTTCTCTGTCAAAATCCGACATTGCATCCTACATTTCAGGACCAAAAATACAAAGTTAGCACAATAATAACAGAGAGAAAGCTTGTGTGTGCCACAACTCCTGAACATTTTCACCACATCAGATGCTGAAAATAGCAATGCATATGCAAAAGAAATAAAACCAGTGAAGATCAATATCTAATGACGTCAAGTATTACCGCAGAAGCAGGAGGTTCTTCCCAAATCGAATGATCTTCATATTTCCCAAGATATTGCCCTTTGGAGAGTCTGTGACTGGAACCTCTGAAAATCTTGGTTAGCCAACCCATAATGTAAATTGCTATCCTCTTGTGGGTTGGCAATTATATCCTGCAGACTGAGTGAATTCATTTGAATAAGAACCACCATTAGAAAATGGACTCCGCAAAGCAATCTTAAGAAATACTTTTCCCCCTTTCCAGATTCAAGCAATATCATGCCAGGAAGATCATCACTGTAACGAATTTCAGTCGGCCAGATAGGAAAAATTCTTCAAATTTTGAATTGAACGTCTAATCAGGAATCCAAGATAATGAATATGAGATGAATAACACGCAGATATAGAACTTCAGACAAGTAACATCTACTCGAGACAAAATTTTCCCAATTTTCAAGGAAGACAAAAAGTACTCCGTGAAACAAATTCCGATCACACACAGATTCTGAAAACTATAAATTCGACAGTGAAATCTCAACCTCCTGACTATTCATAATTCCAACCGTTCAACAATTTCAAAACCAAAATAAATAAAATATTACCCACCTGATCATCAATTGATTCATCTAGATTGATACGCTCATTCAGATTTTTGGACAAAATAACTTGTCAACAATAAATCCAGAAAATAAAATGAAAATCACGTGTCAGAGGCTCACCACAAAAAGTTGAAGAATCTGCAGAATTTCAAGGAATCTGATGAACCCCAGATCAGATAAAGAATCCAATTTCCCTCATTAGAAGAGATGACACGAGATATTTCATTTTCCAAATCTGACAAATCATTCCACATAAGAATGAAGATAAAAACAAAAACTTGAAATCAATTGTGCTCTCATTTATTTCTTGACTACCAGAAGAACATTCTGGTTAAAGAAAGAAAAGTAGACAAGTGGTACTTGAATTCTACGCAAATATAGGCCAAACTATGCAAAGCTTTTATTTTTTTATCACTATTTAAGAGACAGATGATGTAATATTAACTTTTGTTGAAGATTGAAGATAATTCAAATGGGTGTTAGAATTTCTAGTATAAATATTTTGTACATTTCTCTGACGTGGGACCTTTTGAGCCTTAGCCCCATTTTTCCACCATTAGTCCACTAATGTCAAAAACCCATTACAGTTAGCCTTTCGCGTTGACAAAACGTCACAAGGAAAGGGAAGGTGACGCTCATCCGACTAAATTTAGATAAATAAATAAATAAATTTCGTTTTTGTAAATTTAAAATCATTATTATTTAATTGATCAGTTAGCACAATTGATTCAATCCACGTCCACAATAAAGGTTGGAGAGTTATAAGAAGCTTATTATAACAAAATATCCAGAATATCGTCTCACTTTTGGGAAGAGAAGTAGGACCCTACAAATAAATTATTAACCGAGCTTTTCAAATACAGATAATGAAGAAATCATACCGCAGGCTCTGTAAACCCCACCAAAAGCAATAGGAGTACTTCTGTTATTTTGAATAGTATGGGTTGACTTTATACCAGGAGGAAGGGACAAGTTTTTGGATTTTATTTTTTTTTATTTTTTTTATTTTTTTTAAGAATCCAAGCTCCAGAAATAGAGATGGCCTTATGATTTTGTGTCAGGTTGTAAGTGTATATCAGGGTATTAAATTGTGACGAGTGGCTAAAAAATATATGAATGAGTAATGGGGTCCACTAATTGCATCTCTGCCTCATTAGATAATTATTCTGTTTTTCAGTTTCATTTCTTTATCCCAACTCAAAGGTGGATTTGTCCTTTTGCACCGACGGCTTCATTTCTTTTACACAGAATTAGTGAAAGTATTTTCCGTAATACAGTTTCTTTTATTGGAAATATTTCCTGTAATAATTTTCAGTTTTGCACTTAAAGGAAAAAGCCTGCTAAAAAAAAAACAGTGTCAAAGAAGGATAGTTAAGAAATAACTGAAAGTTGGAATAGGACGTAATTATTGACTTGAACGAATGTCAAAACTAAAATAGAAGTTCGAGTTTGATCGACCAAGAGAAATACTAATAAAAAGTAGTTTTGAATACTGAAAATAGCGAAGCAAAGAGACAGCATATCTATTGTGCCCTTAACTTCACGGTGCATTAAGTATCTTTCTTAGTGCTTTCTTGATTAAGATATAATGGTCCATTTATGCAACATTAATGCATCGGTAACGTGTAAACAAAGAAATTAAACCATAATACAACTAAGGGAATTTAATTGTGTGCTATCCTCCTGCTTGCTTTTTTTTTTTTTTTTTTTTCTAAAAATTTTTATTTTTTTTTTTTTTACTAAAAATTGTTAGGTCTAGAATAGTTGATTGCCATGTATTAGAAAGACTTCAGAACCACCTTTGTCTCCATCTCCACCAAGGAAAGAATTTCATCACCTGTAAGTCGTATAGAACTCTAACTACAGCACTAATATAGATTAACAACGATTATCAATATCTAGAATGTTAAATGTCTTTTTTAAAAGAAATCCTTCTTTAGCCCATCAACCAGATCCTAACTACCCCCTTCTGTAACCAAAAAGTTTTCTCTCATTGACAACCCTGATACGGGTAGGGAAATGCAGAGACATCAGAATCACACTTCTGCTAGGTAGCGTGTGGAATGACCGAGAGCGGACCAGCTTCATTGACATTGGAGCCCCTGGTCTCAACTCTTGAGGTCGGTACCTCGACCCACTGTCACAGAAACAATTAATTATTACATGAAAAATCGAATAGTTGCAACCTAATGGGTGGTTTGTGAAAATATTTTAGTTGCTTTTATTGAACCCATCTGTATTATTTGCCCGTGTATACCAATATAATTTTCCTTCAAATATTTTGGTTACGGGATGCCGGGAAGGTAGGTAGATTTTAGAGAGCGGACCCTACAAGTTATAGAAATTTGCAATCGAGAACCTCAGATTTTCTTTCTTTTGATACAAGTATTTAATGACCGACGTTGTGTAACGTAAAGCGCACCCCACCCGCCTCAAAAGCAGTTTCCAAATATTTGATATTTGTGGTTCACATTTGCTAAACTAAGAAAAAGACTACATTGCCCATGTCACGTGGCTTTTGAGAAGCCAAAAAAGATTCCAAGATTCAAAATTTATTTTTTGACTCATTTCTCTTATTTTATAATAGCACTTTGGGTAGTTAGAAAAAATTTTTAGAGCTAGTTTGCGTCTCGTGCGTTGCACGAATTTTGTATTTATTTTGATTTTATTAGCGTAAAATTTATAGATTGTACAAAAAATATTTGAAAATAAGAAATGTTTGTTTGATTCTCATCTTTTGATCGACTGTATATTTTATGTCACGATAATTTATTTTTATTCTTATAAATAAGTATAATGAATATTGTGATTGTATATATGTCAATGATAATTTATTTTTAATTATTTATTGTATTTTTTTGTTTAATGTAGATGAAGATATTTTTTTTATCTGATATTGCAAATAAATTGTAAATTGAATTTTGCAAAATGCTTTTCTTTAGCAACTTCGATTCGAGAGACTATACTTGTAGTTCAAAAATAACCCATGCAGTTGTAAATTGAAAGAGAATATCTACATACACAAATATTTAAATAACAAACTCAGGTTCGCACGTAAAATAACTTGAAGTAGCACTTACTAGATGGTCAACTCCCTTGTTGGTGTAAGAATTAGAACCCTAACAGTAGACCTATTCTTCGGACGATACAACAGTCACTCCAAGGTTGGTAGGGCAAAAGAATTTTAAAAAAAATTTAAATAAATTTTATTTGAAAGAGAAAAGAATTAAAAAGAAATTTAAATAAATTGATAAAAAACCAATTATTTATAAATTAAAATTTTCAATTTTAATTAAATAATATTTATATATTCTTCATTTAATTTTCATAACTTTATTTTATTTTTTACTTCTAAATAATTTTAATTTTTTTACTTATATAAGTAATTTTTACATATATTAGAAATATTTTTTGTTAATATGTTTATTTTTAAATTTTTTTTTACTAAAAGTGATATATATATATATATATAT